AAATGGCTAGCTTCTTTAAATTTAAAAGTAAACATTGGGAATACAAAGCTGATGTAGTTTAGGAATTATATGAAAAGTAGCAAACCAGTGAACCAAATGTTCACTAAAACCTGATTTAAAAAAAAATGTATTTAATTAATTGAGAACTTCGGAGATTTTGTGTGGTTTCGTTTGAAATTCGTGATTTCTCGAAAACCGGAAGTGCTACGTTACTCAAATCCGGTTTGTAGTCTTATCAGACTATTCTTAACTTATAACTTAAATATTCTCTTTATCTACCTCTTACGGTTTGGCCGCTGAAACAGCACCACAGAGAGACAGACGGACGGACTTTTCTAATAGATAAGAGATGCCTTAAAAGTTAAATAAAGCTATTGATGATAAGCAAAATAATACAGAATGTGCAAGACAATAAATTTTTGGGTGTTACCATTGATACTCATTTGAACTGAAAATCACATATTGAGGACATAAATAAAAAAAAACTAGCAGTTGCTATGCTATATCAATTCTGTCAAATGTAGCTTCAGTGAAAGCAGCAAAAAATGCATACTATGGGTATGTCTTCCCACTTTTAAGGTATGGCATAATTTTTTGGGGTAACTCAGTAAATGTACAGTCGACATTTATATTGCAAAAGAAATGCTTGCGTAACATGCTAAAACTTGACAAATATGAATCACTGATATGTATTTAAAGATTTCAAGTTCCTAACTCTGACATGCATCTATATATACGAAATTTCTGTTTTTGTTAAAGAAAATAAAGACCATTTTTTATCAAAAAGCAAAGTGAAAAAGAACTTGCGTTTGCATTATGCTTATAATATGTATATCTATATACAGGGCGTCCCACGGCTACCTCACACGCAGGGAAAGTATATTAAATATTGAAGATATGATATTTTACTGAAAGAAGACATTATTTCATTTTTAATAATAAATAGAACTGCATTCACAGATTTTTTTAAAATCGCCTGCTACAACTGGGAATCAAACTCGTGAAATTTCGAAAAAAAAAACACGACATATTTAATGTTAACCATCGAAAGGGTTAATCATAAGGATTATTGTTTGCTAAATAACATAGCATTTAAAATGAAGGGAAAGTCATTAAAAACATTTTATTTAAAATTATTTAACACACTAATATAAAAACGTATGGTGCAAGAAAAAAAAATAATTATTTAATTTATCAAATGTTCAAAATGTGATCCATTTTATTGTATGTAAATTCTAACTCTTTTAATAATTTCTCTGCCTGTCGACTTCATTATTTTTGCGTGATGAATATGTTATAATACATCTGAGTTCGTTTTGTAACTCTTGCACATTGTCGTACTGGTTCTTGTATACAACGTCTTTTACATAACCCCCCAAAAACAGTCCAGTGGGTTAAATCTGGGGATCTCGCTGGCGATCTAATTTGTCCATAAGCACCGATCCAGGTAGGAAAGTGTTCTCTATGAAACTCGGCAGTTCTCCTACTGTTATGAGCCGGAGCTAGGGTTGCAACGATATATCGGAATATCGATAATATCGAGACCAAAATATCGATATTTATATACACACCTTAAATTAAATTTGACAATAGTGTATTCTTGTCATTCTTTATACAGAATGAAAAGGAGAGACTGATGTTAAATTTAGTTTTAAGTTTAGATAATCATGCTTGAATCGGCACCAACGTATTAGGTATAATTGTATACCTAATGGTAACTCATGCACTTAAATAAAATCCTTGCCTCTCTTTCTAGATAATTGTCAACTACTGATTAATTGAAATTTAATATCATTGTAATATAACACAAAATAAAATTAAGAATCTTATTCAAATCGTAATTTTTTTAAGCTCGCCAAGTCAAGAAAGTAAGATAGGTATAGTAATTTTGGAAGCTTTGGGCTTACTCTATTCTAAAGCCATGGGCACTCCCCTGATGTGTGGGAGACTAAGCAATTTGATGTGCGCTAAAAAACTGACATAGCTTGAAAAAGCACGAATGTAGTGAAAACTTAGCGAAGGCATTTGCAAATGTCGTCCCACATATGCGGGTTGGCGCATTCGTGCTAACGAATGTGAGTGATCTGATCAGAATAATAATTTTATTTTTTTGGTTTCTTGCCGTGGCCGAAACACAAAACAAATCAAAAAAAATCCTACTTGGCGCGATTCCATCTAGCGTGTTTAACGAAAAAGCTGGCTCAATGCATTTTGCGAGAAAATCTCCAACGAACATATGAATGTGTCACACTCACCCCGTATTCTAATGTCAATAAAAAATAAAAAGGAAAAAATATCGATATATCGACAATATCGAGTTAAAATGGTCGATATATCGGATATCGATATTTTCCTGACTTCGATATAAATATCGATATTTCAAAAGACTTTGCATCCCTAGCCGGAGCCCCATTTTGCTGGAAAATGAGATTTCGTCGATTTACATGGAAGATTATTGATCTCACTTCTTAAAATATTAACCGCAAAGCTAATAATGTGTCTTTGTGGTTCTTAAAGTAAGCTTCCATTAAATCTATTTTTTTTTGATACGCCATGGTAAGTAAATTAACAAAAAATTGCAAATAAACGAAAATGAAACTCACAAAAAACAAAACAACAGTCGCTTGAAAATGTATGTGTTCCATTTTCGAATTATTATTTTTACAAATTTCAGCCAATCTCATTGTTACTGTGCGTTCAAAAAGATATTCATACGTACTACAATTTGTATATCACTTTATTATTTTTATCACGTAATAAGACATTGGTGCCAATTCTGGCGTGATTCTCTAAACTTAAAACTAAATTTAACATCAGTCTCTCCTTTTCATTCTGTATAGAGAATGACAAGGATATACTGCTGTCAAATTTAAGTTTAGATTTAGAGAATCATGCTAGAATCGACACCAATACTTTATTTAAAATGCAATGTTATTTAGCAAAAAATAATGATTGAATAACTTATGATTAACCCTTTCGATGGTTATTCTAAAATATGTGGTGTTTTTTTTTCGAAATTTCACGAGTTTGATTCCCAGTTGTAGCAGGCGAATTTAAAAAAAATCTGTGAATGCAATTCTATATATTATTAAAAATGAAGTGATGTCTTCTTTCAGTAAAATATCCTATCTTCAATATTTAATATACTTTCCCTCCGTGTGAGGTAGCCGTGGGACGCCCTGTATAGTCATCTAGTTATTGTAACAAAAGTGCCATAAGAACTGGAATCAAGATCTTTAATCATTTACCTAATTCCATTAAAGCTTTAGAATTAATATAGAGAAATTGGTGTAGGTATTGTTAGTTATAATTATTAAACTCTACTTTAGTTAAGCAAAACATGTTATTTTTCTAACGCTAGTATGTTTTGATGACATGACATTCCGTATGTGACGTTATGCCAATGTTGCCATTTTCTATAATTTAAATATGACTTGTTAGTACGCGAAAACACTTCCGGTGTAGCGGAGTTTGATATCTGAATGATTAATCGATGTAATGTCGATTGATCATTCATATTCAAGGTGGTTGCATAAACGTAGGGTCTATGCCGTGTTGGCTGTATGGTGACATTGGCTTTACGAATCTTATGGGATGGTGTGTGCCCGTCTTTATGAAGTATTGGCTATGATACCGTTCATAGACAAGCTGCATTAAGACGTTAATCTATGAAAAGTGACAAATGTGTGGAGGTGGAGAGATAGGGTGCGGCCAGAGTGCACTCATATTCAGATTCAGATTCAGATTCCAAAAACAAGCGCGAGAAATAAACAGTGTAGTTGAAGGGTACGGCCAGAGTGCACTCCTGATTCAGATTCAGACTCAGAAAACAAAGCGCGAGAAAAAGCAGGCAACCTGCTTGGACTACACTGTTTATTTCTAGCGCTTGTTTTCAGAATCTGAATCTGAATCTGAGTGCACTCTGGCCGCACCCTTATAAAAGAGCGCTCCACCTTAGTTTGAGTAACTTTTGCTGCGATCGTCGTCCTAGTTGGTGATTCAATAAAATAGTGAAACCTCTGCAGAGTTGTAATTTATTATAAGACTAATAGTATTCAATGGCGCTTTTAACATAATATCAGTTCGACTTATTTTTTGTGGGGTAGATACGTCGGGTTAAACATTTTAATTAACCATTTGAATAGATCTAAAATTTAACTGATCGTAGCAATTAATTTCATAGGTACCTCTAAATATTTCAGTTAAATGCATAAATGAGAAACAAAGAGATTTATAACGAAGTCTTTAATGGGAAAATAAAATATGTATACCTGCTTAATGAGGGCTATTGCGTATAACCGCCGCTAGAGGCGCTAGTATAGCGTGAGGTCTCCGAAAAGTCACATGTTATTGCTTGTGGGTTGACTACGCGGGTTTATTTCTAATTAAAATAATATTGTGAATATTTGGTAATAACTCGGCTTAATTATGGCAAATATGAGTTACGAAGCTATGAATGTCAGTTATTTAATAGTGGAGCTAAGACAAATAATTATTATGTCCTCCTTTTTTCCGAACAAAACGGAACTGCGCATCACTGTGGCATGGCCAATTATGTTAAAGATACGGTTCTTTTAAATTAAAATATGGTTTAAATGTAAACTTTGATTTCACGCGTATTAATAAACTTTAAATATTACAATTCAGGACCTCACTCAACAGTGGCGCCATCTGGTGAGACAGAAAACGGTAACCCTCATTAAACTTGTGCTTAAATTGCACTACTGCTATCTAGTGAATAAAAACAAAACTAAGTAGGTATGGTACTATTAGTTGCCCAACTAGTATTAATTTTTTCAAACCTTGAACAAACCCTAATATCTCTTTGTAAATTACTCCGTGCATTTTGCATTCACATCCATTTCACACAACATCAAAGCGTCATCAAAGATTCAAATTTGAGTCACATTCACCACAGATTACAATCGCCACTCGCCACTTTGCATCAATGCGCGCAAGACCTTATTAGTCTATGCCACAGACAGACATACTAATATGGCCACAGATAAAAAGTGGTAGGTAATGGGTGGTGTGGCATTTTAGCGTTTAATTAAACACTACGCAACCCAAAGTCAATCTTTGATGGATTTTACACAAAATTTAGGTACATATTTTATTAATGAACTGAAAAAACAACTTTCAGTCCGCGTGTGGTTTGTTTTATTTTCTCTTTGAAAGTTTTGACAGTGACATTTCATTTAGTGTACTTTTTCGCGGTTGTATCTATATCAACGAATAAAATGACATTTAATTATCTCAACAGCTTTATTATAACAAAAAGTGAATAATAAAAACAACAATTTACTTTTGAGACGTTCACTGTTCCATGGTAAGGACATTTAGAATAGTATTTTTCTGTAAAAGTGCAAATGAAATCTCCCAACTTCCGTTTTGACAGGAAAAGGAAGTCATGGCGACCTAAACTAGAGCCAAAACTCCTATTGAATGTCTGCTCATATCCTTATCCTCATATCCTGTTGGTACTTTAATCGATGGTGATGGCGCAAAAACATAAATACAATGCTTTGGTTTATACAAAAGTAATGAACTCATGGGCAATTCTAAATAAGATCATTGTATTAAGAATATAAATAATGAAGTATTATAACAGATAACAAGATTTAGTTTTCTTTTCATTATTATTATGATGTTTAAAGTTAGTTAGAAATAAGAAATTATTCAAGAATAATTTTAAATACCTATGATAAATAAACTAAATTCCATTTTATTACTTGAAATACATATAACCTCCCTTAATGCTTTCTTTTCTTATAAATTTACAGCTTTGATCAATAGGTTGATTAAAAAAATCAGTAACAAAATATGTTCAACTCGTAGGTGAGTCAAGATGACTACAGATCTCTGCGCTGAAGATGTTGTTATACAAATGAGTCCTCAGGTTGAAATGACAGTGAGTACTTCATACAAATTCCATTCTATGTCGCCTATTCAATGAAGAGAACAATTCTCAAATGCCAAGTCTAATTTAAATAACTGTTGTAATAATTACAATAATGTATACTTTACATGTGAAATGTACCTAATGGACAATAACTTCTATGTTAAATAAAACAATGTTCAACAGTATAGATGCCCTGATTTATTTATTTATTTACATTTCGCATCCTTTACAGGATGTGTCGTCTGAATAATTATCCTTTACAGGATGCGAAACATCAATAAATAAATAAATCGGTGCATCTATACCGTTGAAACTTGTTTTATTTAATGAGTGGTGTGCGTGAAAACCTAAGAAACAAATAACTAATATGTTGTAAACGGCTGGTGGTCATGACAATGCTTTGATCATTGCCACTGGGCACCACTTAACATTTTATGTGTCCGACATTTTGTAGTTATAATAAAATACAGTTTAGTTGTTTATTTAGGAATGAATTTTGTGTATACCTAATGAAAACCAGACAATAATAAACTATAATTTTACTTGAGGAAACTATGAAATTGGTAATAAACCAATAAACTATAATTGGAGATTAAAATCTATGAATTTGACGATTCAAAAGGTTTTTTTAATAAGTAAATTTGAATAAAGTATCTTTTCATTTCATTCATTTCATTTCATAAAGCCACCAGTCATTCATTCAATAGATAGATGATGGGGGGATATGGTGGGGAGTGGAATGGTTATAGGGGTAAGTCGGAGGGATTGTAATAAACTGCAGTTATGTTATTTTTATTTTTGAAATGTATATTTATATTACAATTTTAAAAACTGTCTTGAATTTATTTTATTAAAAAGCTAAACTAATTTAAATTCATAAAACTTCTCTACCTCAGCATAATAAATAGAGCATATTAATAAAATTATATTTCCTAAATGTCTTATCAAACACTGGTTTTAACTAAATCATTTTATTATTTTCCTATTAAATAAACAAATGACTGGCTTGGCTTATAATGTCATGCTCATAAGCGGATGTCACTTGAGGATATGAACCGCACTGCAACTATTTATGTTACATTTAGGTATATCGGAACTTTCCGGTCTCTCGATTATGTTGTTTGACAAATAAGGGGAATTAATAACTCCAGTTATGCCATTCTATCCTAACATTACTGTTGTTTGCTTAAGTTTAAAAAACAGTAGGTAGGACTATTGAATATAATATCAAAAGGTTGTCCCATGACATGACACTATGATCGATGGTATATTAATGGTCCAGACCGAGGCGGGCGGGGAAGTGCGGACCGGGACGGGGGCCGGGGGCGCCGCCAGCGCCTCGCTGGAGCTGGGGCGACACCTGCTGGTGGCGGCCCGCGACGGGCACACGCAGCTGGTGCTCGACCTCATGGCCAAGGGGGCGCCCTTCACCACCGACTGGGTATATGACTGTAGGCACTACATCCTGCCCTAGCAGCGTGTCGCTGGAGCTGGAGCTGGAGCTGGGGCGACACCTGCTGGTGGCGGCCCGCGACGGGCACACGCAGCTGGTGCTCGACCTCATGGCCAAGGGGGCGCCCTTCACCACCGACTGGGTATATGACTGTAGGCACTACATCCTGCCCTAGCAGCGTGTCGCTGGAGCTGGAGCTGGAGCTGGGGCGACACCTGCTGGTGGCGGCCCGCGACGGGCACACGCAGCTGGTGCTCGACCTCATGGCCAAGGGGGCGCCCTTCACCACCGACTGGGTATATGACTGTAGGCACTACATCCTGCCCTAGCAGCGTGTCGCTGGAGCTGGAGCTGGAGCTGGAGCTGGGGCGACACCTGCTGGTGGCGGCCCGCGACGGGCACACGCAGCTGGTGCTCGACCTCATGGCCAAGGGGGCGCCCTTCACCACCGACTGGGTATATGACTGTAGGCACTACATCCTGCCCTAGCAGCGTGTCGCTGGAGCTGGAGCTGGAGCTGGGGCGACACCTGCTGGTGGCGGCCCGCGACGGGCACACGCAGCTGGTGCTCGACCTCATGGCCAAGGGGGCGCCCTTCACCACCGACTGGGTATATGACTGTAGGCACTACATCCTGCCCTAGCAGCGTGTCGCTGGAGCTGGAGCTGGAGCTGGGGCGACACCTGCTGGTGGCGGCCCGCGACGGGCACACGCAGCTGGTGCTCGACCTCATGGCCAAGGGGGCGCCCTTCACCACCGACTGGGTATATGACTGTAGGCACTACATCCTGCCCTAGCAGCGTGTCGCTGGAGCTGGAGCTGGAGCTGGAGCTGGGGCGACACCTGCTGGTGGCGGCCCGCGACGGGCACACGCAGCTGGTGCTCGACCTCATGGCCAAGGGGGCGCCCTTCACCACCGACTGGGTATATGACTGTAGGCACTACATCCTGCCCTAGCAGCGTGTCGCTGGAGCTGGAGCTGGAGCTGGGGCGACACCTGCTGGTGGCGGCCCGCGACGGGCACACGCAGCTGGTGCTCGACCTCATGGCCAAGGGGGCGCCCTTCACCACCGACTGGGTATATGACTGTAGGCACTACATCCTGCCCTAGCAGCGTGTCGCTGGAGCTGGAGCTGGAGCTGGGGCGACACCTGCTGGTGGCGGCCCGCGACGGGCACACGCAGCTGGTGCTCGACCTCATGGCCAAGGGGGCGCCCTTCACCACCGACTGGGTATATGACTGTAGGCACTACATCCTGCCCTAGCAGCGTGTCGCTGGAGCTGGAGCTGGAGCTGGAGCTGGGGCGACACCTGCTGGTGGCGGCCCGCGACGGGCACACGCAGCTGGTGCTCGACCTCATGGCCAAGGGGGCGCCCTTCACCACCGACTGGGTATATGACTGTAGGCACTACATCCTGCCCTAGCAGCGTGTCGCTGGAGCTGGAGCTGGAGCTGGGGCGACACCTGCTGGTGGCGGCCCGCGACGGGCACACGCAGCTGGTGCTCGACCTCATGGCCAAGGGGGCGCCCTTCACCACCGACTGGGTATATGACTGTAGGCACTACATCCTGCCCTAGCAGCGTGTCGCTGGAGCTGGAGCTGGAGCTGGGGCGACACCTGCTGGTGGCGGCCCGCGACGGGCACACGCAGCTGGTGCTCGACCTCATGGCCAAGGGGGCGCCCTTCACCACCGACTGGGTATATGACTGTAGGCACTACATCCTGCCCTAGCAGCGTGTCGCTGGAGCTGGAGCTGGAGCTGGAGCTGGGGCGACACCTGCTGGTGGCGGCCCGCGACGGGCACACGCAGCTGGTGCTCGACCTCATGGCCAAGGGGGCGCCCTTCACCACCGACTGGGTATATGACTGTAGGCACTACATCCTGCCCTAGCAGCGTGTCGCTGGAGCTGGAGCTGGAGCTGGAGCTGGGGCGACACCTGCTGGTGGCGGCCCGCGACGGGCACACGCAGCTGGTGCTCGACCTCATGGCCAAGGGGGCGCCCTTCACCACCGACTGGGTATATGACTGTAGGCACTACATCCTGCCCTAGCAGCGTGTCGCTGGAGCTGGAGCTGGAGCTGGAGCTGGGGCGACACCTGCTGGTGGCGGCCCGCGACGGGCACACGCAGCTGGTGCTCGACCTCATGGCCAAGGGGGCGCCCTTCACCACCGACTGGGTATATGACTGTAGGCACTACATCCTGCCCTAGCAGCGTGTCGCTGGAGCTGGAGCTGGAGCTGGAGCTGGGGCGACACCTGCTGGTGGCGGCCCGCGACGGGCACACGCAGCTGGTGCTCGACCTCATGGCCAAGGGGGCGCCCTTCACCACCGACTGGGTATATGACTGTAGGCACTACATCCTCAGCTCTTTAATAGCTGATGATAGAGAAGGCCTGTGCTATGGATGGAATAAGGAGATTAGGCCATGATCCACCACCTGAATTCAGTGCAGATTGGTGTGTATTAAGGGCTACGGAGGCAGCCGGGATCGACAACTTAACATGCTTTCCGAAGTACGAAGGAACTTAATAAGTTTTAGTCACCCATCCAATAACCGACCATTGCGAAAGTTGTTTAACTTGTGGAAGTTAAACAACGCGCTATCTTCCTGCGCCATCGAGTTCCTGTAGCCATAATTCTGGATTCGAATCCCAGCATGTTTGTGTTATAAGCTGAAATATTTGTTCCTTTATGATTGTTAATTTAATAGTTGTATTGGACAAAATAATTGTGATTTCTTAAAAATTAATTTAAAATGTAAAACTAGGTCTACTTAAGACCTAGTTTTCTTGAATATTATTGTTAATGATATTTGAATATTAAATTACATAATAAAAATCTTAGTATTTTATATTACACTTCCGGACAAATTTAGCGGCCTATCTAGCATTTTAAGTTTTGACGTTCCACAGTTAAAAATAAATGTTATATTGAGCATAAAGTTTTACGTAGTTTTGAAGCTGATTTATTAATCATCATTATCGTATGTTTTTTAAATATATTGTTACTGCTCAACCTTACATATATTCTTGCTATATACCGTTGAAAGTTACAACAGGAAGGGTTATATTACACCGGGACACCATGGCGGTGCAACCAGTCGCCGTTAGCACAAATCGAAATAGCTCTATAGAGAATTATTCATCTGGTATAGGGTATTTGACAAGTTTTAGAAAACGATCTCACGTTATTGACTAACGTTTATGGAGTCCGTAAAAAGTGGATATTCATCATTCTTTTGTGTATTTCAGTAAAAATAACCAAATCAAAAACTCCATTTTCAAGTTGTCGCGAAAACGTTTTTCTGCACAATATGGCGCCTTACTAGTGTATGACGTCACATGACTGTTAATAAAACGTCAAACCATACAATGTAATGTCACTTTAACCGGAAATTTACTTGCGTGTGATGTCATTTTAGGCTCCGCCAATCCCAAGCGTTTTCGGTCATATGACAATAGATAAGAAAACTATTACCATTTTCGTGGATTTTTAGTAAAATTATTAATATTTTTTTGTAAAAAATAGTAAAATTCCCTGCCAATATTCATTCTTAACACAGATGCTAGCAATTGGAACTTTATTTTTAATACTGTCAAATACCCTATTCGTTCGGTCGCGCAACTAGGTCGGACGTGTGCATAGAATGTTATCGGGTGCGGCACCACTATAAGTACTATAGCGCTGAAAGGTGTCCCACTCGCTCGGTCGTCAGTTCGAACTTAGATGACGCCTACGTACTCATAGGAGGAGTCCTCCTCCTCTAGGTTCAATAAAACTAGTTTTTACGGGTTAATGCACGAAACTTTATTTATTTATTGACGTTTCGTAGCCTTTACAGGCTTCGTCGTCAGAATAAAAGTTTTATTAAATTGATTTAATAAATAAAGTTTCGTGCATTAACCCGTAAAAACTAGTTTTATTTAATGAGTGATGTGCGTGAAAACCTAAGAAACAAATATCCTCTAGGTTCATTTTGATGCTGTCTCACCGGGACTTGACATTCAAACACGTCGCATGTACACTCAATATGACAATGTTGCGTATATTCTGTGTTATGAAGATATAACAATGCCTTCGATGCTTTTATGAAGAGCACAAATAGTTCAAAATCAATCGCCCCGGCAACACTTTTCATTCGTAAAACTGTAAAAACATTTTTTTCTCAAAAATCACGGTTTGTCGTGAATATTATTTGCGTAATCGCCATTTTGTAAGCAAGAAAAGGACAACAATACGTCGCGTCGAAGCGTATAGTTCGGTCTCGCTCGCTCGATCGATGTTCGTATGTTTATATACAGACGCGTGCGTGGCGAGAGTCGCTCGCGTAGTTGAGTCGGATCATATTTTATTTGATGCTAGCATGAGCGTACCGTTTCTACCCTTTTTGGTTTAATCTAAGGAAACGTAGCCCTCAGGGGGCCGATGCATGAGTCCGGAAGTATATGCGAGGGAGGAAGGTGACGGTTAACAGTGAGTCTGTTATTGCAGCTGGGCACGGGGCCGCTTCACCTGGCGGCGGGCGGGGACCACGCGCACACCGCCGGGGTGCTGCTGCGGGCCGGCGTGTCGCGGGACTCCCGCACTAAGGTATGGAAGCCCATACTGATGACCTGTTGTCATTGGTGGTTTTTCAAGTGAAACTTCTTTATCGGCGTTGGAAAAAAATTTACCGTCACATTTTTCCGTTACGCGCCATCTTTTTTTATATTAATAGTTGATAGCTGAATGATCGCACTGTCGCCGGCGAGAACTCTCTCTACTCGTTTGTAGCTGAGTCACGATAGTTATTAAAGATAAGACTCGCTCAGCCAAACTCGCATAGCGATACTCGCTCAGCCAAACTCGCATAGCGATACTCGCTCAGCGATACTCGCTCAGCGATACTCGCCCAGCGATTCTCGCTCAGCGATACTAGCTCAGCGATACTCGCTCAGCTATACTCGCTCGGTTAAGCTGGCTTGGCTGTCAAAAGCCGTGCGCGTGCATTTTAACTCAGGACTGCCGATTCGTTTCTAGTTTCTACTCGCTTATCGTTCACCGTCGGAGGTGTAACATGTGCCTTAGATTACTGAGCCGTGTAATCATAACAGTTTCATAGGCAGTAATTTGTATTCATGTCTATGATAATAAAATCCTTTTGTTTAAACTTTATCTAATTTAACTTTATTTAACCAATTTCTGGAAAGTTGCATGTAGATCATTTTTCGAAAAATAAGGCCATAAAGAAGTTTCACTTCTTACGTGTGTACACTAGTACACGCACACATTTTTTTTTTGACGTGACAACGTCTTAAATTAGGTTGCGGCTGGGAGTCACTTATGAAAAAGTGTAACGCTCGGTAACGTTACGATGAGTCTCTCGTGTTAAGTTTAAGTTTACATGTACAATGTTTTAGTAAACAAAATATATTTCTATAGTTAAAATTTGTGCAATTCTTATTTTCATTCAATTCCTTGTTCCTATTGTGCAATTTAATTATATTCATATCAATAAATATTCTACCGAGAAAAAGACGTTGTCACGTAAAATCTTCGCCCGTAAAACCGACTTTACAGGCAACCATTTTTTTGAGTGTATATGCTGTTGGTCGCAAATAACCTTTACAGCGTCACCGGGTTTGGGGACGGCGAGATCCTAAGGGGACCTCAAGCCGAGAATTGGCGAGTGAATCTGGAGGTGTTCCAGGCGGATGGCGTCTCCCCACGGGGGGAGTCTCCTCTCCGTCTGAACATACGCAAACAAGGGACGATTGTCCACTTTTTTATTCCAAATATATCGATTAGAACTACATAGTACCGCCCACGACGGACCTCGTACGCAAAGTCCTTCTAACAACCTAGGACACCGAGAGACCGGACAAGACAAAAGTCCGCAAAAGTCCCCGAAAAAAAAATAGATCTCATGTAACTAGACGCAACAGCGCACACAGCGAACTTAAATCCGCGTTGCATGCGCATTAAATTCGATTTAACTATTCAGACTTATCTGCGGAGGACAGTTATGTGTCTACTTAGAGGTCCCGAGTTGGAATCCCGATGGGGCAAATGTTTATATGATGAATAGGAGTATTTGTTCCTAAGTTATGGATGTTTGTATGTTCTAGCATGCAAAACAAAGTACCTACTTACCATACTTTTAAAATTGCAATAACTCTTTAAACACATAAGTTTACTTTTGAAATCCTGCTGGAAAAATGTTACTTATCTACAAGTACTTGACCATAGTTATATTTTTTTCTTATTTTAAAGCATGTAACTGCTTGATGTTTAAATCTATAGAAAATATAACTAGAAAAAAAAATCCACGCGGACCAGGCAGCAGACGGGACTCGAACCCGCACCCTTCGCAATCCGGGCGAATGCACTGACCAATAATGCTACCGCGGCCTTCACGGACCGCGTCGAAATTCTTCTAGCCATTCTTAAGCTGCAAGGCAGCGCAATCTCTTCGCATTATTGTGGGTTACCTATATATGCGAAGAAATGGCGCTGCCTTGCCGGCCATGAGGGCCGCTGTAGCATAATTGGTCAGTGCATTCGCCCGGATTGCGAAGGGTGCGAAAACCGCGGCCTTCATGGCCGGCAAGGCAGCGCCATCTTCTCATCTTTACTTTACCATAGTTTTAAAGAAAGCTAATAAAATTTATTTCTAACTTTTAAAGTTTTGAAAATATTGAATCAAAAAAAAAATGTCATACTTAATTTTGCAAGCGAGTGTATTATGTATCATAAACTCTATTCGTTATCCTAGTATCCCATAACACAAGGTTTTTGACTAAGCAAATTAGTGCGTGTGTTAGAAACATTTATTTATTTACCAAATGAATGAGGAGCTCGATGGCGCAACTGGTTAGTGCGTTCGGCTGCGATCGTTGAAGTTTAGCAACTTTCGCAGTGGTTCACATTGGATGGGTGACCAAAAATTTACTATCCCGAGCTCCTCCGTGCTTCGGAAGGCGCGTTAAGCCGTCGGTCCCGGCTGCATGTGCAGTCGTCAGCACCCACCAATCCGCACTGGGCCCGCGTGGTGGGTCACGGCCCGCACTCCCTATTCCATCCATAAAATTCAAAATTCAAACTCATTTATTCAGTCTAGGCTGTTACAAGCTCTTGTGAAAGTCAAAAGCTACGCCATCGGTTCGTAAATCTACGGCGGGAGACCTTGTACTGAGAAGAACCGGCAAGAAACTCAGCAAGGGCTATTTTTTCTCCCTGTTTTGTTTCACACAGTGTCGTCAATTGAAAGATGACATCAAAAATTTAATACATGTGTTGATGTCAACTTCCATCACATTAATATTATTAATTAACAAAAGTTAAGTATAACTAGGTACTATTTTTAAATTTAGAAGTGGCGATTAAACAATTTTCAACCAAATTAGCAAAGTAAAACGACAGTCTATTATGTTAAGCCCAAGGTGACTTATCATTTATGAAATCTTTTACAATATAGTAACCTTTCTTAAGGAGACATGTTTTTATATACACTTTAAACTTATTAAAAGGTAAATTAATTATTTCTTTTGGTATTTTATTATAGTAACATATATCTTGACCCACAAATGAACCGAGAACCTTTTGGAGTCTCAACGGTGGCAATTTGAGTTTATCTTTATTTCTGGTATTGAAATTATGTACATCATCGCGCCTCGTATATAAATTTATGTTCTGACGCACAAACAATATACAATTGTAAATGTATTGAGAGGCAACAGTCGTTATACCTATTTCTTTAAATTATATATATATATATACATAGGGAAGTGCCCTAGCAGTGGGGACATTAATAGGCCGATGATGATGATGAGACGACGCCCCTACACCGGGCCGCCGTTATAATATTAGTATGATGAATTAATATAGGTGGAACGTACACCGCTTCACGTGGCCGCGCACGCGGGTCACGCGGAGTCGGCGGGGGTGTTGTTACGTCACGGGGCCCTCGTGGACTGCCGCGACCTGCTGCGGATGACGCCCCTGCACTGGGCCGCGGACCGGGGCCACGCCCCACTGGTCAGCCTGTTGATCCAGTACGGCGCGGACCCGGCGGCCGTCTCCAAGTTCAACAAGACTCCCGCCCAGCTGGCCATGAGGAGGGGACACGCGGCGATAGTGGCGATGCTGGAGGACGCGGTGCGACAGCGGGAGGCTGCCAGATCTGTACGCGCGCTGGTCGAAGGTCACCGTTTGATTATGTTCATTTATTTGGATTGACGATATAGTCCGGTCGATGAAGGCGAAGATCAGCTCCGACCTCCGATTTCGTTGAACCTCCATCGATTTTCCATGAAAATCGGTAACCAGGTGGGGGATACCTTGAGAAACAAAAGTGACATGGTGGCAACTTGCGCTTTCGCCCTGCGGGTAGATGCCACCTCTTTCCGGGGAGTGAAAATTATTTTAATAAAATTACTCGAGAAATCGAGAGGAAAATAAAAGGTTTTGGAATAAATCGATACGTTCTGAATTATTAAAAGTCAAACATTGTAATTTTTCGTGATAAAAATACATATTTTAAAGTTTTTTTTTTATAAATAACTCAAAAACTATGAGAGTGAGAATAAGCAAAATTAAAGCTAATATAAAAACAAACAAACCCCAAAATATACATACAATTTCCTATAGCTCACTTTGAATTAATATTAGAAGGTTTTTCAAAGTAGGTATTTGTTTATTTTTTTATTAGCTTTAATTTTGGTAATAATAGTTTTTGAGTTATTTATAAAAAACCGCTTTAAAACATGTATTTTTATCACGAAAAATCACAATCTTTGGTCTCTAATAACTCGGAAAGTATTGATTTATTCTAAAAACTTTATATAACAAATTTTGCTTAGAATCTGTCTCGCTATCGATACCTAAAGTTGTTTTTATTAAAATAATTTTCATCCCCGAGAAGGGGTGGCATCTACCCCCAAGGCAAAAGCGCAAGTTGGCAATATGTCACTTATATTTCTTAAGGTATCCCCCACCTACTCACCGATTTTCATGAAAATCGATGGAGATTCAACGAAATCGGAGGTGAAAACCTTCATTGACTGGACTAATAGGGTTGCCAGATGCTGGCTTGTCAATTCCGGGACATTGCCCCCCCCCCCCCCTGAATAAATAAAACATTAAATCAAACCCCCCAGATTTTATTCTGGGAGGTGATCTGAATCTGAATGACATCAAGCAGGCCAGCGGCGGCCACATTATCGGGGCATTAAGCCCAATTACTGGTTACGGGACAAGACGCAAAATTCCTGGACAATCCCGAACTTCCCGGCCATCTGGCAAGCCTAGTTAAGATAATGTGTCTTTTAGATGTGACATAGACCACGTTATTAAAAAACTTAAGGCTAAAGTTTAACCTGGACTAAAATTGATGTTGGTGTCGATTCTGGCATGATTCTCTGAACTTAAAACCACCACCAGTCTCTCCTTTTCATTCTGTATAGAGAATGACAAGGAAACAATGGTGTCGATTCTGGCTTGATTTAATTCTGTCTTGTCAAGATTAGGTTTAAAGAATCATGGTAGAATCGACAGCGCTGCCACTTGTCTGCTAAAAGAAGTCAGAAGCAACATTAGGTTTAAACCTAGACTAACGTTTGGAATAAGGCGGATGAAGTATTCCTTTCACTTACCTCCTTATTAACAGTGGCGGCGCTAGACCACATGTGGACGTCGGCGACATCAAGTTCGCGAGGCCTATTTTACTTCGCAGTTAAAAACCGTTAAATTAAGTGAGCCAAATTATAAAATAACGTATGTAAACGAGTTTTATTGTTGAGAATCAAATGATGACAAAAAATAATAACAAACACAGAAATTTAATTACAAAAACAGTGTTGCCAGACAGACGATTCTGAATACCCGTAAAGTACTGCTCGCTTCCATCACGCACGTGTTCGAAAATAATAAAAGTCATTACCATCTGCTTAGCTCTTTCCCCGAATTGTTCGGGGTCGGCTACCTAAGCCAGGCCAGGAGAAACGAAAATAAATAGGTAACTTGTAAAAAATTTTTGCGTACCCCCTCAGGCGCGAGGCCCACGTCGCCGACGCCTAGCGCCGCCACTGCTTATTAATAAACGAGAAATAAGGTTAGACTAGTTATGCCGTGTTTTATCTGTTAGATAATATAAAATATAAACCTTGCAGTTTGCGTAAATAATACATGTTGATTAGACTAATTTGATACTTGTATTTTGCATAAAACAATTGTATAATTAAAATTGCTAAAATTCGACATAATTGAGCCATCATCATAACTAAGTTTTAGAAGCTGAATTTAACTTCCAATTATTATTAGCATATATAGAATATTTATAAATTATATTTTGAATTCCACAGTTATCCCCCTCGTTTCCTCGCCTTCATCCCTTCATCCCCCAACACGACCATTCCTATGTTTCGTTTTTAATCAAAGTTTCAATACTGTTTTATATGCATTGATTTATTTTTGCTTTCAGAAAGATTAGCGGAGGAACAACCCACTACTGATCCCCTGACATTATACAAAGAAAATGTTGTCGAAAGTAATGTCATTTAAAATTACAATATCTAAATTTATTTTTTCACCATGTTCGTTGTCAAAATGCGCTATTTTTCTTATTGATTAGAAATTCCAGAAATAATAACAACGACAACGGCGACAGAGGTACCGAAACATTGCCACATAAAAGCGACTAAAGTGAAAAAAGCTCCAGAGAAACCGGCGAAAATGGAAGAAAAGTTACAGGTAAATCGCGATTCGAATCTGTTACTAATACGATACGGGGAAGATATTTTCGTCCTCGTATATTACATTACTTTCTATTGGAGGGTTTTTTATCTAGGTCTTTTAGTTATTTATTAAGTTATACTTAATATTTCTACAATTAGTCAACAATTAACAATTTCTTATTGTCCAGGCTTTTGACTTAAAGTCTGATTGTAACAATTACCTATGTGAAATCTCAATTATACTAAAACTATAATTGCCCAAATTATTATTGACGTTTTGACATTTTTTTATGGGATATGTCTAGTTTTAATTGAATCGCAATTTAGAAAATTTGCTGCAATGTTAAATTAATTTAATTAGTTACGTGTTTTCTCATTCTATTGTTATCGGAAAGGAAGTTGCAGCATCTATTTTATTTAAACTTTAAAAAGTTGAGTACCTAATTGAGTTGTTCTAAGTGCGGCCGCTAGTCAACCGTACCCTTAGCACGAACCAATTGAATTTGAATAGTTTAATTCGATTTCGACATGCGTCAAATATCAAGAAATTTTGTTTGGAAGATTTTTAATTCTGGGTCAACGATATTAAATACCCTAGATACACTAACACGAACAAAATCGTGGCCGAAACCTGTCCAAAAGGTACATTGGATAATCCACGGAGCTCCGTTAGATGATCGCGTAGTCAATATCAATATAAGGCATTTTTTGAACATTGGAAGTCACCTTTAACGCATAGTGTATAAGGTCTTCATTAAAACGCAAGCGTCAAAGAGTTATGACAGTTCGAAATACAAGCTCATAAAATTTTACGACTTATTGCTATATGCGGAAGAATGTAGACCTTATTTCTTTGACTCTACGCGCAAATCTGAATGCGCTGTTACCAATAGCAGGTACGGACCGTGAGGAAACGAGGCGGCTATATTACTGACCATGCGTTTGAATATCACAAATATTTTTTATTAAATCACTTTATAGTAAGTATTATAACAAAATTTGCTTCAAATGCGTTTCTCTAAACTTAAAACTAAATTTAACATCAGTCTCTCCTTTTCATTCTGTATAGAGAATGACAAGGATATACTGCTGTCAAATTTAAGTTTAGGTTTAGAGATTCATGCTAGAATCGACACCATTGATTAGGTACCTGTCGAAAAAACGACACTTACACATACTATAAGTATTTATTATGCATTTTTTCGCGGAGCTTTGCGGGATCTTGACTTTTCGACGGTCCGCGCGTGACTGTGAACCAAGAAGTGCTTGCGTGGTGTTCAAGCACTTCTTGATTGGGACACATTTTGAGCGCGCGTGGTGTATCTAGGGTATTTAATATCATTGTTCTCGGTACGTCCGTTGTGACGCCGTTCAAATTTCCTTAGAAAAATTCTTGACATTTGACGCACACCTATCGAGCTCGAATTCAATTATTGGAATTCTATATTGTTTCATGCTTTTGTACTGTTTTTATTGAAATTCAAAAGCGTTGATCTTATAACGTATTAAAAATGAGGGGTTCATTTCATTCCTGCTTTACGTTGGTTAGGAAACCGTGAAAGAGGCCATCGAACAGCGCGGGGATTCCGGAACCGGAAACGGAAACGCGGCCGCCATACTGCGCCGACACGGGATCACTCTCCTGCCGCCCGATACCGGCGGGACTGTGCTGCGCGCGCTGCAGGGGGGGCGGACTGTCGTACTGTCAGGTATATGGGGGGGCTATAGGGGGGCATTATATCAACACGGGGGATCACTCTCCTGCCGCCCGATACCGGCGGGACTGTGCTGCGCGCGCTGCAGGGGGGGCGGACTGTCGTACTGTCAGGTATATGGGGGGGCTATAGGGGGGCATTATATCAACACGGGGGATCACTCTCCTGCCGCCCGATACCGGCGGGACTGTGCTGCGCGCGCTGCAGGGGGGGCGGACTGTCGTACTGTCAGGTATATGGGGGGGCTATAGGGGGGCATTATATCAACACGGGGGATCACTCTCCTGCCGCCCGATACCGGCGGGACTGTGCTGCGCGCGCTGCAGGGGGGGCGGACTGTCGTACTGTCAGGTATATGGGGGGGCTATAGGGGGGCATTATATCAACACGGGGGATCACTCTCCTGCCGCCCGATACCGGCGGGACTGTGCTGCGCGCGCTGCAGGGGGGGCGGACTGTCGTACTGTCAGGTATATGGGGGGGCTATAGGGGGGCATTATATCAACACGGGGGATCACTCTCCTGCCGCCCGATACCGGCGGGACTGTGCTGCGCGCGCTGCAGGGGGGGCGGACTGTCGTACTGTCAGGTATATGGGGGGGCTATAGGGGGGCATTATATCAACACGGGGGATCACTCTCCTGCCGCCCGATACCGGCGGGACTGTGCTGCGCGCGCTGCAGGGGGGGCGGACTGTCGTACTGTCAGGTATATGGGGGGGCTATAGGGGGGCATTATATCAACACGGGGGATCACTCTCCTGCCGCCCGATACCGGCGGGACTGTGCTGCGCGCGCTGCAGGGGGGGCGGACTGTCGTACTGTCAGGTATATGGGGGGGCTATAGGGGGGCATTATATCAACACGGGGGATCACTCTCCTGCCGCCCGATACCGGCGGGACTGTGCTGCGCGCGCTGCAGGGGGGGCGGACTGTCGTACTGTCAGGTATATGGGGGGGCTATAGGGGGGCATTATATCAACACGGGGGATCACTCTCCTGCCGCCCGATACCGGCGGGACTGTGCTGCGCGCGCTGCAGGGGGGGCGGACTGTCGTACTGTCAGGTATATGGGGGGGCTATAGGGGGGCATTATATCAACACGGGGGATCACTCTCCTGCCGCCCGATACCGGCGGGACTGTGCTGCGCGCGCTGCAGGGGGGGCGGACTGTCGTACTGTCAGGTATATGGGGGGGCTATAGGGGGGCATTATATCAACACGGGGGATCACTCTCCTGCCGCCCGATACCGGCGGGACTGTGCTGCGCGCGCTGCAGGGGGGGCGGACTGTCGTACTGTCAGGTATATGGGGGGGCTATAGGGGGGCATTATATCAACACGGGGGATCACTCTACTGCCTCACGAAATCAAATATCTAAAAGCTAGAAACAAGATAAAGAAAGATATTAGATCACAGTGACTACAGTTATAGCTTTAAATGACATGCTATCAGGTGGGATAAATTAACCGGGTGATGAATTTACTGGTTTTAAGTAGTAGATACTTATTTTATCCACAGGTTCAACTGCATAACGTGCCTAAGAGCATGCATGTAAAGGCAGCTAATAAATATCTAAATAGATACTTATTATGCTTATGCGAATATTCAAAACACTGGAAAAATCATTATTATTTAAATCTAAAGAAAAGTTTACTAGAAAAAAATCCACGCGGGCCAGGCAGCGGACGGGACTCGAACTCGCACCCTTCACATTCCGGGCGAATGCACTGACCATTATGCTACCACGGCCCTATTGGCCGCGTCGAAATTTTCCTAGCCTTAAGCTGCAAGGCAGCATTATCTCTTCGCATTGTAGATAACCCACAATGTCAAATGAATACTTTTTCAAGTATTAAACATTTGAAAGAAAAAATAGCAATTATAGTTATGTTTATGCGAAGGATGCGGGTTCGAGTCCCGTCCGCTGCCTGGTCCGCGTGGATTTTTTTCTAGTAAACTTTTCTTTAGATTTAAACATCTAGCAGTTAAATGCTTAAAAATAAATAGAAACATAATCATTATTATTTTCAAGTTTAGTTTAATTTTGTTTTAAACTTTCATGGTCACCAACATTCCCACTGATAACTATATTGCATCCTGGTTTTTTGTGAGTCCGTTATTAGCAATGTTGTTGTGTAAACTGAGTTACTGCAACCCAGATAATAATTATAATTTAATTTGATTATACAGACGCGGGTAAACTGATGCTACAGGAGAGTAATGCAGTTCGTCAGGCCGCGAAAGATACACATCCGCCCGCTAAGGTAATAATTATAATAACACAACTCCAATATATAATTTTTACGAACACACACCAATTAGCCTAGCTCCGAAGTAAGCATTGTAAGGCTTGTGTTATGGGATACTAAGGTAACGGATATACTGTACATATATAAGTATATTTATTAAGAAATATGTATTAAACATCATCATCATCATCAGCCTATTAATGTCCCCACTGCTGGGGCACAGGCCTTCCCTATGAATGGAATAAGGAGATTGGGCCGTGACCCACCACGCGGGCCCAGTGCGGATCGGTGGGTGCTAACGACTGCAGACGCAGCCGGGACCAACGGCTTAACGTGCCTTCCGAAACATAGGGGAACTCGAGATAGTAATTTTTGGTCACCCATCCAATAACCGACCACTGCGAAAGTTGCTTAAGTTCAATGATCGCAGCCGAACGCACTAACCACTTGCGCCATCGAGCTCCTCAATATAATAACACAACTAATGACTGGATTACAAATGCACGTATTCATCACACAAACATCTGCCCCCCACCGGGATTCGAACCCGGGACCTCTCGAGACGGCGACACCATGAAACCCGGCGTACAAACCACTCGGCCACGGAGGTCGCCCGTCTCGAAGGAAGATTTACATTTGTATTTTAAAAATATCTAAGATTTTTGTACCCTACAAATTTGGTCCTTCGAGCCGAAATAACAACACATCAATATTCACACGTACATACTAATTCAAAACAAAGTAATTAAAATGAACTTGATGAAAGTTCAGATTCAATATTACATTTACTTGAAGCTAACCCTTTGTATGTTCATATTACATACAATTACATCTAAAATGTCTCAACATATAACTATTAGGCCCATAACTTGAACGGTTTGGCTAACCCAAAATCTCCTATATCAGGTGAAACTCATCCAATTACCGACGGAACCTAGAACAGCAGTAACGACAGTGAGACGAGTGACAAGCGCCCCATCACCGCCTACTTCGGCCAAATCTCGTCCCCCAGTCAAAATCATCATGAACAAATCCAATTTCCAACGCCTCGTAGCCGGCGTACAGAAACCTAAACAAAACAATAATACTGAACCGCTGACTATGACAGTGGTCAATGAAAATACTATGAACAATGATGAAGTAGCCACGTTGAAGTCGCAACTAGCTGCTTCGCAAAGAACAGTCGCAAGACTCACGGAAGAATTGAAGAATTGTCGCGCGAGACTAGCGCAATATGAAGGGCAATGACCTGAATGCATCTAAGGTCAACGACCCCTGCGTTATAAATTAAACACAGAAAATGGACTACATTCGCGAGAAATTTAAAACCTACTGGAACTAAAATTTGTCGATTCTTCCAAGCACAAGGTCCGCGCTGATGGCGTAGCTTCTAGACATTCATGTGTGCTTGTAACAGCCTAAAGTGAATAACTATTTTTGAATTTAAATTAATAAAGAGACAACAAACCACTGATGCAAATATGAACTATAAGCATACCTATCGGTTTGTCTCTCTCACTTGCCTTCCCAGTTTTAAGTAAATTGGTTGGCGAGAGCTCAATCCATCGGTGTCGATTCTGGCATGCATAACTAAACTTAAAACTTAATTTAACATCAGTCTCTCCTTGTCATTGTGTACACTGTATGTCAAGGATACACTGGTGTCGATTCTAGCATGATTCTCTAAAACCAAACAACAGTGTATCCTTGTCATTCTCTATACAGAATAAAAAGGAGAGACTGATGTTTAATTTATTTAGTTTTGTTAAGTTTAGAGAATCATGCCAAAATCTACACCAATGTTGTCAAATTTAAGTTTAGGTTTAGAGGATCATGCCAGAATCAACACCATTCTCAGTGATTCAACGACACTGCACTAGTCCCATACAAACGCTGCGGGCCAATGACCCCATAGCTTAAATATTTTCAAAAGTTGTTGGGTTCGTACAACTTAAAGAACATCCAATTTGAAATACCTTAAGATACTGAAGATTCAGTAAATAATAAATGCTTCAAAAGTGATATCAGTGATGATTATACTATTTTCAATATCGAGATTACATTTTTGTAATTCCGGCACTTCACTTGGTTACTCGTGTCTGATATTTGTAAACTTGAGATCAGTCTGTCCTTTTCTTGCATTATACAACATGATACGGACGAACTATGTCAAGTTAACAAGTAGCAAACGCAAATAGTACATTGACTATTTGTGTTTGTGTGTTTTGTAATATAGGACTCCAATCTAAGGACCTAGAGTAACTCGAAATCACATTGTTAGTTTGATAAACCATGTGGTTTATAGTGGAATGTATATAACTGTTATAAGCGCAATGTAAATAATAATAACAATTCAACAACAGGAAATGAAAGGTTCTATCTGATATTTCCTAATGATTATTACAGTTGGATTTGAACGTGTCCAAAATCAAATTGATTACAGGAAAAGTAGAAATTGCATCACAGAAAAGAAAGAGTTCCATTCATTCCTAAACAAATCTCAAACAAAATAAATATAGTTTGTTTTTAAGATTTCATAACGTTTTCTACTCTATTATTGTTAATTTTTCCTTGTAACGATATTCTAATCATATAGGTAATCTGAATTTTTGTGATGCAGTTTTTACGTTGCCCGTTTGATAAATATTTGAGACAAATCTCATTGCAAACATTATTTTGTATTTTTATACTACAAAAATTAAGCTCTCAATTTAGTTTTAAGTACTTTATAAATAATCTGTTAACTAATGTTAAGGAAATAAAATTTACATTATTGTACTAATTGGTTTTATTTACATCTAAGGATTTAATATATTACACAAGTCACAATGATGATGATATTTCTAGAATATGTCATTTCTATTAATGGCTTGAACCATTTACTCGCAACCCCAATTTAACCCATTTGTGGTACACACAGCAAAATTGTATTCCTTGCACTAAGGAAAAATACGATAATGGTGTCAATTCTGGCGTGATTCTCTAAACTTAAAACTAAATTTAACATCAGTCTCTCCTTTTCATTCTGTATAGAGAATGACAAGGATACACTCTTGTCAAATTTAGAACAATCATGCCAGAATCGACACCAATGTAATATTTTTCCATTCAACATAAAAGTTTATAAATAGTGGTCCCAATCGGTAACAGGGGTAATACTATGAATATCAGTAATTCTGCATTAAATTTATATTATTATGTTTGGTATTCAATAAATGAAACTTTCTTGAAGTTGTATCAATTCAAAGCATTTTTAATATGACAATACTTTTTTTTAATAAGTTAAGTATACTTATTTAATTTCAAACTCTTGGCTCAACTGCCACCTGGATTACAGGAAAAAAATTAGGCAGCATTACCCATGGGCAAAAGCTGTGGTGCTGGTGTTGTTAGACACATTTTCATTCACTTCATGTTACTTGCATCTTTGTTTTATTCTAGTCCTTATGAGATACAATACGCAAACACCTCACAATGAATCACCTTCCTTTTCCTCAGTAATGTCTCGATGGCCATCTACAAGTATCCCTGGCGGGTGCACGGGTTTATATATATATGCCCGTTGTCTTTCCGTAATAAACAATGTTCGCCTGAAGGTACAGGTAATTAAGATTGAAATACTAATAGTCCCACTGCACTAGGGCTAACATTATAGCGTTGGCTTGCTAAAGAATTTTGATTTTCTAACACTGCTTTGCCGGTAGTGTCCCGCTAGCGCCAAGCGTTAGAAGCTAGTGATTACGCTGATAGCGCGCGCTTGTAGGGAGCCGCTAGTGATTGCGCTGATAGCGCGCGCTTGTAGGGAGCCGCTAGTGATTGCGCTGATAGCGCGCGCTTGTAGGGAGCCGCTAGTGATTGTGCTGATAGCGCGCGCTTGTAGGGAGCCGCTAGTGATTGCGCTGATAGCGCGCGCTTGTAGGGAGCCGCTAGTGATTGCGCTGATAGCGCGCGCTTGTAGGGAGCCGCTAGTGATTGCGCTGATAGCGCGCGCTTGTAGGGAGCCGCTAGTGATTGCGCTGATAGCGCGCGCTTGTAGGGAGCCGCTAGTGATTGCGCTGATAGCGCGCTGTCAGCACGTCTCGGAACTGCGCGAGGATGGCGTTTTCTCTTTTAGCTCGTTCTTCTTTGCTGAAGGCGGCGAGCGCTCGTTTTTCGTCCGCGGAGTAGATCTGGTTCTCTTTGCGGATACGCACCGCCTCCATGCGACGGTGTCTGGAATGGAAACACGACATATCAATATGAACAAATTCCATTGAAAAATCTTTCTTGCACATTTGACTATACATAGGTAGCAGCAGTCGTTATGAACAATAAACAATGGTAAATACTTTTAAACAATCAACTGCAATTAATTTCATTTACCAAATTAGAGAACTTTTATGATTTTCGAGTTAGCAGTAATTCTCATATTTCTTTAAAATACTTATATAAACATTTCAAGCACTAAACAGAAAACAAAATACGTAATTTCGTAGTGATCCAAAAAATATAACGAAAATGAAAATAATTATGAAATGATAAATTAATCGAAACAGCTGAACAAATTCTCAATCACAAAACTTTTCCCCGTGCCACATAGCTCTTCTAATAAACAACCATAGATTATCGATGTCATGCTTTTAATATGTAATAATAAGATTTACCAAAACGAACAGAATATTTTCAGAAATTAAAATAAGTCAATGACTCAGGTATGTCTATTTGTAAGAAGTTTTTCTTGAAATCGCAAAGAGCGAGTAAAGAACATCGCGCATGTATATAAGCGTCCATACCTGCTACCGCTCATAACGTATCCGACGGCCTCGTAGCTGGCGATCTCATCGGATGTGAGGCCGATCTCCCCTCGGCGGGGGATCCTCTTCCCGTCGGCCACGAAGGCGGCCATCGCGGCGCCCTCGCCCGGCAGCAGCGCGCGACCGAAGTCCTTGTGCCCCAGCGACGGACCCGTGCGAGGCACCGGCCCGCAGGCCGAGCTGCTTAGCTCCTCCGTTTTATGAGCTTCTGACTGCGATTTCACCTTGGAGGATTCTACCTCGTGCTCCTCTGAAAATATGATTATTCCGTGTGATGTCCCTCCTGTTGGGGCACGAGCCTGCCATGCGATAAAGGTATTGGGCCACGATTCACAGGGCCACCCAGTGTGGATTGGAGAGTGGCACTCGAAGGACATTCCCCATACATTGAATGCCCTAGAACGCACAGCGATGAGAAAAAGCTAGTTGTGTTCGGAATCATTCGTAAACCTTAATTAGGCCTTTGTTGAGATACGGACAACTTGAGGAACCGTGGCCTTCTACAGAATGTATTAGATTTTGCCCAAACAAAGACAGCACAGAATGCAGCATCAATTTTGTCACACACATGTTGAAGCTACGTTTGATGGTATTCTTACAGCTTCAAACAGTTTTTGTTAACAACTGGCTCTAGATAACAAAAAAGTATGTTGTTCTGAGGTACACTGTAAATCTTTATATATATAATTCTTCTGTGAGTGTGTATGTCACTGAACTTCTCTTAAACGACTGGACCGATTTTGATGAAATTTTTTGTGTGTGTTCAAGGGGATCTAAGAATGGTTTAGATTCACAATTTTGTCCGCTGGACAACCCCTATTTTTTTAGGGCGGTACGAAGTTCGCTGAGTCAGCTAGTACTAAATAAAACTACTTACTTCCTTTCTCAACCCAAATTTCCTCCTCACTGCTGGAGCTAGAGTCGCTGCTGGAATTCTTGGACTTCTTCTTCTTTGCTTTCTTGCGTGCTTTCTTCACCTGCTTAAGCTTCTTTTTTAACTTTTTGAGCTTTTGTTTTGTGTCTTCCTTTGAATCCTTTGATTTTTTACTTTTCTTCTTTTGTTTACCTTTCTTGACATTGCTTGTTTCTGATTCTTCTTCATCAGAACTAAAAGGTTTAAGACATCTCAATTAAAAGAAAAGAAAGAGGCATCTCTCATTTATTATCAATATTAATCTAAAGTACTCTATTTAAATAAGAATAATTATAAGAAATAGGGGTTTGAAACAGAACATTTTTTTTGTAGAGTATTAAACAGTAATGAAATTTCTTACTCAGGTCTCACAGGAGATTTTCCCCAGACTGCTGCCACTCCTATTTGACCAATTCTCTCCCTCTCCTCTCGTCTGGCGTCCAGAAACTCTTCTTCTTGAGGCTTGTAACGAGACTTTGGCATAGGCCCTGGGCCACCTCCACCTAAGCCTTGTAAAAGAAATGTTCAAAATTTTACTGCCAAGCCATCATCATAGTGAAATTTGCAGTGATAATGTGAGATTGTAGCTAATCATCTCAATAATATTTATACCTACTAGAACTTTCATGGCATACTGACTGTGTCATAATTATTTTATGAAATTCTTTATTTTTATTTATTTAATTCAATACCAAAATCCACAGCATTTTCTTAATATAATACAAGTTTTACAATAAAGTTTATTTAATGCCAATAGGGATGATGACCTTTTTTTTCTTTATTTATCAGGAAAAGTCGCATGACGTCATGTTTTGGTACAACTTTCACTTAAATGAGACTTCACGAGCCCCTACTCCCAAACTTTGACGCCCTTTATCTTTGTCATTTTTTGGTTGAAAAAATATGTATCAATTATTTTTTGACCATCTAACTGACGGACTAAATAGAATTTCGTTTATTTTACCCCTATTACAATTTTTCATTATTTAGGTATAACATTTCTAAAAATACTAATTTTGAATTTTCATCGTTCACATTTACATCAAGGTTTTAATTGGAATATTTTCTGAATTTGCAGGGTATACATTAGATTTTAATCAATTATTTTCTCTAAAAAGAAATGTGGCTCAGCTTTCCATTATATGTAATTGAGTTGCAAGCTGAAATTTTTGTCACGCAGAGTATTAACTATTAAAAACACGTACACGAAATCTTTTTAGGCGGAAACGAATAGACCTCGAGAAAAAAATTATTGAAAATTAATATTTTTGTAGGTTATGAGTCAATTTTGACAACAATTTTGATCAGTGCTGCCATTTTTTTATGCAAAAATAACATGATTCTCGTTGTCTATGGTAAATATAAGTTTATTATGTTGGTACTATTGTCAAAATGTGACAATTTACCGCCATTAATGAGATCTGTCAGTCAGTGTTTGTGTTCGTCGCAGTTGAGAGCTTTTTCGTACTCCTGTTGATATTAACATCGTCTGACTACCATGGCATCCTCAAAGCCTTCGGCCTCGAGTCTTGCTGTCCTATCGCCTGAAGAGTTGAGTGTAGTGCGAGTTTTGGACTCTAATGAGCCACTTGTGTGGTGATACTTCACACTAGGTTAGGTTAGCGTTGTGACCTTAACGCGCGAGCCGAGCGAGCGAAGCGAGCGTGCCGCGGCAGCGGCCGGCGAAGCGCCAGAAAGAAAAATTCGTTAACCTATGAGGGCCCGCGCGGCCTCGCGCATACGATACCGTAGAGGCCGGCGCACTTAAAATTTGAGCGCGCCATTTGACACTCTACTCGATCTTATCGTATTTTTTACGACTTAGACTTAACAAAGCTCGGCAATGCTTATATTATCAGAAAGATAATGAAATAAACTAGCTGATTAACACAAAATAAACACGTTTTGTTTATATTTGAAGCAGAAATATGAGCTTGATCTTAGAAGAATTGAAAAATTAACTACTTTGTAGAAAAGATGGAATTTATTAGCTACCAAATGTCATTTTCACTAAAAAACATATTTTTATTAGATTAAACATAAAATTCCCTAAACAAATTGGTAATTTTTATAAATATTGTAAATATAAAACTGCAACTTTTTGGAGTTTGAAAAAACGCTAAAATTTCGCCACGGAAGCAATTCGCGCGGGTTGATCCCGGTTTTTCGAAATTGTCCTGTGTCATTATTATAAGGTATAACTTAGCAAATTTTCGTTTGAAATATCAGTAATTTACATATATTGAATATCACGACCAAACTGTATTGTATTAGCAAATAATATAACAGTAATTACCAAGTTTTCAAGATCAGACATCAAACTCACGCAAAAAGTCATGAGCATTGTTTTGTGCACAGTTTTTTCTAAAATTACCATACAATGCCTTTTTATTTACAGTTAAAAAAACTTCTTTAAATGAGCATTCTATTGATATGCGTTTCATTATGTCTTATCAAACAAAATCAATAAATAAAAATTCTCTAAGTGGCTACTTATTACTCAAGTTTTACGTCTAAAGTCGACCTTCCGCTGTGTACGTACAACAGCGTATACAGCGGGTTCCAAAGTAAGATTAGTGAAGTTTAAAAATAAAACTGAAATTTTCAAAATAATAATTTATTCATAATTAATGTTTACGAACTTATTATATTAAATTTTCTTCTAGTGTTAGGTATGTATGTACTTATCTGAATAACAATAAACATAATTATATATTTTAACTTATAGAAATATAAAAACAACAACTTAAAAACTACGTAATGTATAAAATTTGAATACAAATTAACTTAACCTACTTATAAATAATATCTAATTTACAAAATGAAAAAGAAGTCTTCTCATAGTTATATTCAGTATCTAAGAAATAATTTCGTTTATATTGCTTACGTCTTTGGTAAACTAATGTTGTGACACTCACCGATATCGATACTAATATAATCGTGAGCTAATTTATTCTTCATATCAAAACTATTTTACATAATACTTATTGAAGAAATCAAAATTATCGATATTACTGACAAATAGATACTTTCTGTGTAGAAAGTTAATAGTTTTAATAATAGTTTTGCAATATTTGTCGTAATGCGTTGTAATTACATTACGAATTTTCATACGACAAAAAAAATGATTGAAATTGATACTATCGAAAGTTTTTTAAATATTGGTATTTGTTTTGCGACTCCAGTGTTGTTCCAAAAAAGATATCGACACTGTTGATAATATCCATAGTATATCAAAAATTCATGGTTAACTATAAAATTTCAGGACATTTGAATAAAATCACAATAAACAACAATACTTTTTAACCAACATCCCCAAAAAGAGGTTAATATTTTGCAGAAATGTCAATGTATATGGAAACATACACATACTGAGAGCAGATAAGATTGGTTAATTAACATACTGGATAATAATAATAATACATAATATTTTAAACTTTCATGGTCACTAACATTATAGTAATATAAGTTGTGTACGTGATTGTTACCATGTACCTTGTTTTTTGCAAGTTTCCGATATTTCGGCACTGTTGCAAGCGCCATGATCACGGAGTAACATCGTGGAGTTAGGGACACTGACGTTATTTGTACGATGAATCGGAACAGGAAACACCTTTGAGTTACTCCGTGATCATGATGCTTGTAATAGAGCCGAAATATCGGAAACTCGCTAAAAACAAGGTACATGGTAACAATCCCCTAAGTAACTTATATTACTATAATACTGGATTATTACACTCATCATAATCTTGTACATAAGATGATGAAGAAGGTGCAAGATTGTGAAGAGTATGGTAATCTTTCCAACAACCTCCTAAACATAGAAAAACACTGCACTTCGAGCACTTCACTGTAGTTTCTTTCCGACGTTTTACTGCTGCGCAGCGCACGCAACGATTTCGTATGAAAGAAACTCGTTTATGTGGCTCAGTTGGTACTTGGATGGGAAAGTGGTTATTTTGTTGGTCTAATCTTACCTCTCGCTCAGGCAAAGTGCGCACTAAGGGCGCGCTGACCTGATATTTTTCCAGTAGGCCCTCTGCTAATTTCACCCGAAACTCTCTATGTGTCATTACTTTGAAAGTAGGATTCCTCTTGTATATCAAAAAGGCGTTTAAAATACTAGTATTCAGTAGTCTTCTAAACACCTTTTGATACCATTTGGAACCTCGTTTTCGTTCCATCAGAAACATAGAGAGTTTCTGGTCCTTTAAATCTACACCCCCCATGTACGAGTTGTATTTTTTAATGGAACACGGTTTTAAAATATTTACGCCGGCTCTTCGGCTTGGAACCATGTCCTCCCTGTGGTATGTTGAAATGGCCGTAACTAATTTAACATCTTTCCAGCAGACCAAGGAAATGTCCCCGCAATGCCGGAATAATGCAGCTCCACGCTGTAACGATTTCTCTTTTAAATTTTTAAAATCTAACGGCACATTTTTCCTGTTCCGATTCATCGTACCAATAACGTCAGTGTCCCTACTTTTTAAAAATCTGGTTAATGGTAACTGGTTATACCAGTTATCCATAACCAAAGTATGCCCTAAGTCTAGGAATTCATTCATGAGCTCAAGAACTACCTTGGCGGTAGGATTTTCGAACCCATGAATGGGTCCCTGGACAAAACTTGAATCTTTGCCAGCATAAAGAATAAACTTTAATTGGTAACCTGTCCCTGCCTCGCACAATTCAAATGACTTGATGCCAAAACGGGCCGCCTTCGATCGTATGCACTGTACCCAGCTAAGACGACCCTTCCAGAGAAGCAGGGACTCATCCAGACTCAAAAACTCAATGGGTTTATACAATTCGTGAAATTTTTTGTTACAATGCCTAACTATTGGTGCGATTTTTGCAATTTTTTTGTCGTATGAAAATTCGTAATTTGGCATCATGTCATTGTCAACAAAATGCAAAAATCTGATTAGCAGTATAAACCTGTCCCTCGACATAAGGTTTCTAAATTTTACCATTTCCAACAGACCTGTGGTCCAGTAGTCTTTAACTTTAGCACGATAACTAAAAGTCATTAACATAATGATCGCCAAAAGCCTGTAAATCTCAGGAGCATCGGTTTCCGTCCAATGCATAAGACTTTTGGGCGGAACCCGATGCTCTGCTGCTATTTCAAGCATTTGGCGGGCATATCGATTAGTTTCTTCCACTATCGTGCTAATTATGTCTCCCCCCCAAAAATATTCGAAAATATCTACGGGGTCCAGGGAAATTTGGGTAGGGCCAGGAGATCCCCTAAACTCAGTTTTCTGCCCAGAGAACGACGAAAAGTCCTCTGACCATGAAAACTGAGATGAGGCGCCGTCACCACCACCCCAATTCCCTTGGACCTCTTCCTCTGCCTCTTCCACCTGAATAATTTCAGAACGCAAATCGCTTACGACTTGCCTCATGCTCTCCACGTTGAAGGACAAACTCGTCTCGTCGCCTTCCACGGCTTCTCCGACATCCGCCATAAATTCACTCGTAGCGTCATCTTCGCCTTCACTTTCTTCAATGTCGCTGCCGGAGTCTGCGATGACCGCTTCAATTTCCGCCGTAGTCAGCGGTCGTCTTGATCGCCCAAACTTAAGCGATCGCTGACTACGACGGCGTTTCAAGGACGGAGACGAAGAAGAAGAAGAAGGACCCGAAGTGGGGGATGCCATCACCGGACTACGGGTTGGTCTCCAAGGGACTAGTCCTCTTGAACACCGCTGCAGATTTATGTTGCCCCCCGGGGTAGATGAAACCTGGAACCCAGGCACCAAGTTTGGGCTCTGGACATCTTCTGGTGATTGCGGGCGGGAACTCGGTGAAATTTCTATAACCAAATTAACGACATGTAAAACCAATTAACGTAAAACTTTTACCTAGACCAAATAAAACTGTATTCATTTATTTCCGATAATAGGATATCGATACTTTAAAAACTCTATTGATAAAATATTTATTCATCAATTGCTGCGTAAAAAATGTTGCTACAAATAATAATTTCTACCGATAAATTCAAAATTATCGATATTTATAATCGATTGCATATATCGATACCTACTACAGCATCATTACTGGAAAAATCAATTATCATCATAATCAGCCTAGTAATGTCCCCACTGCTGGGGCACAGGCCTTCCACATAGATGGAATAGGGAGATTGGGCCACGACCCACCACGCGGGCCCAGTGCGGATTGGTGGGTGCTTATGACTGCAGATGCAGCCGGGACCAACGGCTTAACGTGCCTTCTGAAGCACGGAGGGGCTCGAGATAGTTGTTTAACTTTAACGATCGCAGCCGAACGCGCTAACTAACACTTGCGCCATCGAGACTATTTACAATAATATTTCAATACACATCTCAAAACTCGCAACTCAAAGTTCAAGCCAAACCATATCCTTTTTTTGTTAACAAAGAAAGCCAAAGCGTCATTGTTTTAGATGGAATTGTTTGTAATTCCATCGAAAACGACAATGGCTGCAGCGCACATGTGCGCTTGTCCCTACCTGCGTTTGACGTTGTTCCCTCAAAATGTTAAAACGAAAAGTAAAAGTGATTTTGTTGAATGATAAACTTAAAATTGTAAAACAAGCCGAGAAACGCAATTATGAGTAATTTTAACTTGCCAGAATCTACCTTTTATATATAAAAAAAGAATTTATAAAATTGATTCTTCTATTTTCGATAAACTTTATAAAATTGAAAAACAGATTCATAATTGTAAGAACGACACTCAGAAAAAATTAACTGATTTCTTCGAATAAATAAAATATGTATCTAAAAACAAAATGTGTACTTATTATGTATGTATTTTGTTTTGTACCATGTTTCTCGACTTTTGTTAATCTCTAGAGTAACTACACTCAAACCTTCGTAGGTGACAAACTGCTTTAGTGAGAAACCTCTAATAAGCTAGAATAACATTTGGGTCCCTTGGATTCTCGCTTACCCAGGTTCGACTGTATTTATAATCGATTACATATACCTATCGATGCAACAGCATCACTACTGGACAAATCTAATCCTATCCTATCACGTAACATATGCTAAAAAATATAGGTACCTAAGTACGTTCATAGTTGAACATAAATTCTCAATAAATAATTATCTTCAAATCAGAACAACACTTCAATCAAAACAGTAGATAAAAAGAACACCCTTGTTCAATAGCCGGAGCAATTCACGCACACACATAAACATCATGTTTTGCATGTGTGCGTGCGTCTTGCGAATGTTTTGCGGTTTGCCTACAATATTTGAATTTTATTGTGAAAGTATCTTTCTAAGTACAAATGTTTTGTAAAATCTAACTTCTTTCGTAAATTTGCTGTAAGTCTGAATTAAAACTAGGATAAAATAATAAAGTAATAAAATAGAAAAAAAATCATGAAAAATGGATAGTAGGAAAAGTTATTGGTTTTTTTTTGTTTGTCTTCGAATTATTCAAAAACTAAAGCATGGATTAGTGCACGGTTTTTTTTAAATATAAAAAGAATGTATAAAGAATTGATAACTTACCCATTTTATAACTTCTTTGTAGGATTTCACAAACAAAACACACTGAAAAGTACTCGTACGTCAACAGCACAGGAGAGGAAGAGCGCGAATATTTTTAAATGGTGGTCACATGAATGAGTATTGTTCTTGTAGACTGTAAATCTTTGAATGAATAGGTTGGTTCTTTCTCATTCATTTGACATACGACACAAACCATTCTGATATTATTTGTTTCAATTATAAGGTCTAAACTAGTACAACTAGTCTTGTCGTACTGGTCCGGCAGCCGGCGTTGAGGGAGAAATTTTTTTGTCGGACTGGTCCGACAGCAGCACTTAAAAGGTTAATAGAGACTTTTTCTACAAAAAAATCAAATATCACCTCTAGGCCCTGGAAGTACAGTTTTACCTTTAAAACCCCTCTATTTTTTTATAATTATCAATTCTGTAAAAAAAAACGACCCTTCTCTCTGAGGGGTCTTCCCTAATACCTATCCCCCTGAAATTCTACTACATATAACAGATTTAATGAATTTTTAGGTTAGGTAAAAAAAAACTGCATTTCCGCCAAAAATCTTTTATGGCGGGGGGGTCGGGGGGAGCCCCCCCTCCCCTACAAATTACCCCGAAATTCAATTACATATAATGGAATTAAGTACCAGAAATGTCTCAAACTAAACTTACCTCCACCCAGCCCTCCTCCACTAAATTCTTTTTGTGTATTTGGTCCTCTATTATCTCGAGTATAGCTTCTGTCGCGTTCCCTACTGTGATTTCTGTTCCTGTCTCGATCGCGACTTCGATCTCTGTCCTTATTCCTATAGTCGTCCCTTCGCCGATCCGAGTCAGCATCCTTGTGTCTCTCCCTGCTGCGATCATGCCTGTCCCGGTCGCTGCTCCTGCGCTTCTCTCGGCTGCGACTTCGATGCCTGTCATTACTACGACGACGACTACGATCACCATTGCCCCCCATCACTTACCGAGTTAGATACAAATGTTTTAGTTTAATTTATGCGGGACGGCATTATCTTATAAAAAGAGGTTGGTTTGGTTTTATCAAAAAATACCACTTTAACCCTTTTAGTTAAATCCAAAACACTAAAAATCTAACTGTAAAGAAAACACCAAAACGATGCAAGCAAACCAACATTCATCACTAGACATACAAAAGTCAAAATGACATGACAGCTTACGCTTAGTGATGTTCGAACCGATCCCATACTTGTGTTAATCGATACAAAGGAATACGATCACCTGATTTTTGTATCGATACAATGGCATTCGATCAGTGGATCATCATAAATATGTATAAAATTCTAAAAAAGACAAACAAAGTTTAACCGTTAGATTTATTCCTAGCAATAATAACGCATTTATTAACTACAAGGTATGGTCTACCCATGATAATGAACGGGATCATATTACACTAATTTAGATATTTTGCATATTATGTTTCAATATACCTTAACTTTCCGCATGATATTTAGATTTTATTGTTGTTCACAATATTTATTAATGACGTAACCACACCTCATGTCTAAGACACTTTGAACAAATATTTTTTGGCAATGACATGAAAAATCTCGAATCCATTAAAAATAAAGGTTGACTCATGCTGCAAGAAGATCTAAATCGTCTTGAAGCTTATTGTGTTACAAATAAATTGGAGCTAAATACAAGTAAATGTTTCTCTATGTTTTTACACGTTAACGCCATGCAGACAATTTCACTATCGTTAATTACATAAAAAAGATTGGTATAGTCCGAGACCCTAAGATATTTTATGATCAACAAACACCAACCGACCGAAAAGTAGTAAGTTCATTATGCATACATAATTATCTAAAGCTTAAACTTTTGATGTGTGTATCCTTTCATTCTCTTTACAGAAAGAAAAAGAGAGACTGATGTTAAATAAAGTAAAGAGAATCATGCATGCCCGAATCGACACCTATGCATTGTTCATAATTTTTATGTGGCTATTCACCTGCATCGATATAAAGTACTTTTTATATATTTTATGTCGAAAGAAAGATTGTGTTTGGTTAAGTTATAGATCGTGAATGATTTAATTTTCAATCTATCCATGTATATTTGTTTTTTCAGCTTACTATTCATATCGGCAGATGCACTTAATTAAATCTGGTTGAAAGTTTTCCAGTATTAAAAATACCATTCATTAATTTCATTCATTTGTTGTTACAACATTATGAATTCCTACCTATTATTTTTGTCATTTATTCGCCATTCCGCGCCTTTTCTTCTAAGTGAATTTCATACCAGAATACGAACTTTTTAGTAATTAAAAATACTTGTACTGTATATAATAGGAAACACCATGTTTCATCAGGATTTCAGTGGCAGATCGGTTTGTATGATATGAGAATACAACATCATTTTCCAAATTGCTGGGTGTTCCAACTCGCAACACGGAATGATCAAAAATGGTAGCGGTCGCACGTGAACTAGTTTTAGAAATGTACTAAAACAATGTTCTTATACCATTTGACAGAGGGGAAATGCCTGCAATGTTATAGATACTGAAAGTGTATTGTGTATTACGATTTTAAATATCGATACAAAGCACCTGGAACGAACACCCCTATGACAGTTCACTTTTTGTTTCTTCAACGAGATAGAAGGCAAAGCACGTTGTGTCTATACAGTCTCACCTTGAAGATACTGGTGTCATGTCTGACAGGATGCTCTAAACTTAAAACTAAAGAACAATGCCCACTGCCCATACATTCGAAAACCTGTCACTTCGGTTTTTTCTTTATGGATGTATATTGACTTTTGAGGTTGTTAACTAATTATTACAATCTTCTGAAATAATGTTGCTAATTTGGTTTGATTTGGCAATGAGGAATAGAAGTTATAACGAAAACTAATTCTGAGGTTATTCAACTGCTAAAGATGTCATTTACTTACTTTGTGGTTACGAGATTGATTATAGATTATCTAATGCCGGAACTTCACTTGGCTATTTGTAAACTTGACAACAGTCTGTCCTTATCATGTTTTAAGGAAAGAAAAGGACAGACTGAAGTCAAGTTTACATGAATAGCCAAGTGAAGTGCCAGCATAAGATTATTCATTTGTGTGCTGTCACAGCTGTGGTGTCTTAGCCCAGCTAGGTATTTATTTCAATTCGCTTGTTTTGTTTGATTGAAGCTTGATCTGAGGATTGAAGTAAAAGGATTAATATCATAACATGTATCATGCTGAGGTGTCATCCTTATAATATTGTCTTTGGAATTAAACAAGTTTTTTTTTATATTTAATCAATAATTCAGTTTCAATTATTTTATTGAAATAGTAGGTACTTAATGTCTTAGTTTCTGCAAGCGAATGAATAAATGATAATCTTGACCTTTACCTAATTATATCTATAGACATCTAAGACATTTAACTATGTATTATTTAAATCTCTGGTAGACAAGTATATAAGTAGGTAATAATCTAAAATAAAATTACAATACCTTCCATTAATTGAGATGATTGGTACTATGAGCAGCTGTCATTATTGCTGGCATTTTTTCGGAACGAATTTCCTTCTCATGTAGTCAGCCGAAGAAATGATGGAGTCCTAACTATTTCGGTCATGTTTCACTAAGAAAATGGCCAGTCTTTGTTAAGAACGGAAAGAAACTTTAAATTAAAGCCATGCCTTTTAAGTATTACATTACCATTTAAATACGTATTTACCGCATGGCTGGCAACATTGGAAAGGAGAGTGCGAATCTACATTTAAGCTGCGTTCATAATTATGTCATTTTATTTTGATACAATACTCTTCCCTAATGGATGCGTTCGTGTGATAGCAAAAAATGTACCTACATAATGGTTATTTTCAAAAATTATTTTTGAAAAAACTGGATTGTAGTTTTTGTTGATATTTTGATTTCGTAATAAGCGAATAATTACCTTTTTTTTGAGGTATGTCACATAATTATACATGCAAAATTTTTTTACAGATTTGACAGGTCACAAATGGGCATCCTTCTTTAACATCAGTCTGTCCTTTTCATTCTGTATAGAGAATGACAAGGGTACACTGTTGTTAAATATCAAATAATCAATGGTCAATGCATTCGCCCGGATTGCGAAGGATGCGGGTTCGAGTCCCGTCCGCTGCCTGGTCCGCGTGGATTTTTGTCTAGTAAACTTTTCTTTTGATTTAAACATCTAGCAGTTAAATGCTTAAAAATAAAATCATAACTATAATTGCTATTTCTTCTTTCAAATGTTTAATACTTGAAAAAGTATTCATTTGATATTCATTGACATTTGGGTTATCTACAATGCGAAGAGATGGCGCTGCCTTGCAGCTTAAGGCTAGGAAAATTTCGACGCGGCTAATAGGGCCGTGGTAGCATAATGGTCAGTGCATTCGCCCGGATTGCGAAGGATGCGAGTTCGAGTCCCGTCCGCTGCCTGGTCCGCGTGGATTTTTTTTCTAGTGAACTTTTCTTTAGATTTAAACATCTAGCAGTTAAATGCTTAAAAATAAAATAAAATCATAATCTTTAGCTTTAGAGAATCATGCCAGAATCGACACCATTGTATTTTCTAATTGCTATACTTGAATGCAGGTGTAATACTTCATGAGTTTATAGCATAAAAATCCAGCCAATTAACTTAATAAGCTTATAAAGCTCCACCAACAGCATGCACAATAGTTTACAAGAAAGTGATGCGACCAATATACAATACAATACAAGGTAATGTCAAAAAGAAGACAATAGAAATACGAAGTTCTAGACTGTAAAAACTTAGTATACTTTGCCTATGCCTAGAAATTAAAAATAAAATTGCTTTCCGGGAGCGGTCGATTTCGATTTTCTTGCGAATTTTGGAACTGCGACGATTTTCGTAAAAGTAAATAAATACTTCCCATACAAAATGAAACTATCTACGCCAAGATATACGTGTTGTTTGTGTTTCCAAATTTTGTTTATGCTGTGTGATCTACTATTTAATTGCTTGAGTTTATTTCCTAGAACTCGAGATGGTTTACTCGTGATATTCATGTAAGTCGAATGAAATAATTGAAAAAATAAACAAAAAACATATTTCTTATACGAATAAATATATCAATAGTAATTTTTGTTTTAGATTTCAAGATTTATTTCTCATTCTATCCATGACGACAATGCTGATGACGTTCTTCTCGACTTATTTATTTCAGGTATGCTTCAATCTCTATTTATTTATTGTTAAATATAAAACATGTTTCAGCTATTTACTAGCTACAAGTAACTTCTGCTTGTTTAGGGTTTATTTGGTATTGTTTGTTGTGCAGGCTGGTTTGGTGGAAGTATTGATCCGCAAGTTCCGCGCGGCGGCGGCGGTGTGCGTGGCCTACGTCACGGCTAGCGTCACGCTGCACGCCGTATGGTTGCTGGAAAAGTGGACTGAACACGATTCCATCTCCACGCCTATGCTTATATTCCTATTCACTGTGCAGAGATGCTGTAAGTTGACCCTTTGAATAGCTATTTATTTGTAGTTTCATTAAAAATTTAATAGTAATTTCAGCAGTAGAGATAGCTCCAAGTTTGATAGCAGGTTGTTTTGATACATTGCAGTGTCTCCATGTTACTATTTCTTCTATAAAAGAGCAGCTCTCCGCATCAGTGACCCTCGCTTCTATGAAGATATTGACTGGATCAACAGACAGCTGCAGACACGTTGAAGAGATAACATTTTTTGTAAATTGGATTGAGCTTGGTAAATGATCCCCTTGGAAATTTTGTACTTGTTTGTAAATAAGATGGAACAATGAGACTCTTCCATAAGGGAGCTTAGTGACTGAAAATGTCATATGAATTCTGTATGAGACTGTTCGAGGCCAATATAACATTATAGAGATAAAATTCTATATAATATTCTATTTAATAGCATAAATTCATATAAAATTTTAGTATTACTGGTAAATTGTTATCAATTTTAAGATAAAATTATTATAATTTTATATTTCATTATAAACAGTTCAATCAGATCAGTTTAAAAGGAAACAAAAAAGTAGTGTATCATTATTTTGTTATTTAATGGAATAACAGAGTACAAAAACTGAGTTTAATGGAAAGTAGGGGATAGATAGCAAGGTTTGTATCATTATTAAATGTCCAGAAAGGCAAGATGATCTTGATGTTTATAAAGTAGCAATTATTGTATAAATGTGAAACAATTAATATAATTTAAATCGGTGTGATGCCATAAAGTTACTAGAATTATTTGAAGATGATACTTAAAGATAAAAGTACTTAATGTGAATCAAAATGTATCCTTGCTCTTTCGAGTCCTCATTACAACATAAAATTGGTTTATAAATAAAAATCTAATTGTACAATATAATTTATTGATCAATCAACATGAATACTCATAAATGAAAACTCAGTGTCTTCAATTAACTGAAAAATGTTTTTATCTGAATGTATTAATGGGAGTTCAAATTTCATTACAATATAAAAAACTAATTGTCTATTATTTGAACGTCACATCACATGCACTTATAAATACTTAACAATCTTTTCAGCTGTTGGACCAAAATATTATCAACAATAAATATTGTTTTTATAACTTTGTTATGCTTTAAGTTTTTTCACAATTTTTTTGTCACAAAAATAGCTAGCTATATAAAATAATATATTATTAGCTATAGAGTTATTTAATTGATAACATACTCTACAAACAGCATCTAGTTAGACCTAGTCTCACATATTCTCTTTTTATTTAAGACAAAAAATAATTGCATAATAGACACTGTGTAATATGTTTTGTCATCCTGATCGCTGAAATTCGCCTTCAGGTGTGTGTGAAGTTGCTAGAACGAGGATCTGCACAGAGGACAGTTGGACCGATGGCTCGACACAAACCATTTATGCTGAAAAAGAAAAATCAATGTTGGAAATAAAAAACGAAAGCTTACCTCAAAGCAAATATCTATGACTAAAATATAAATTTCCAATTTTGCAGTGAGTCCATTTGGACTGCAGTTTTATGAATCAATTACTGCAAAAGTTCCCAATGGTGGACCAAAAATCTATCGTTGACCTTATTTATTTATACTTTATTGCAAAAAACAGCAAATGGCGGACATAATGCCATAAGGCATTCTCTACCAGTCGACCGGTAAAAGCGTGAGAAATAAAAATACGGGGGGCAATAAGGACATATGCTATCATATATATATATCGTCCATATATAAATATATGGACTCTTTAACTAATTCAGAAGCAGGTACAGTTGTTACTGTATAGGTTTTTAGCTCAAAGGTCCACTTGCAGGAATTTTGCTAATCTCAATTTAACTAAAACTAGATTTATCATATACAATGATGTCAAATTGACATTGATGTTTTGATATTTTTTTATGGCTTTAATGTAGGTTTAGTTGAATCGAGATTTAGCAAATTTGTGTCTCAACAAGTAGTTTAATAACAGTAACACAACAGTTATTTTTTATAAAAAACTATGTTTATAACTGCCTCACACTCGAGTATTTTATAGCAGTGCCATAAGTTCTTTATTGTTTTTGGTAAAAAAAGATTTCCTTATATATTTTTATAAGCATTTAACTGCTAGATGTTTCAATCTAAAGGAAATATTACTAGAAAAAATTCCACGCGGACCAGGCAGCAGACGGGTCGCATCTACTGCCTGGCAGCCTTACAATTATGGTAACGGCGATTGGATAAAACTTGTTTTGATAACGGGTGTATTCCGTAATATAAACCAGTATACTGGCCAGTGCTAATGACGTCATGCATCGACGCTATACTGGTGAATCGTTCCGAAATATACAGGTCAGTGCAATGACGTCATAAATCAACGAAATATTAAAAATAGTGTGAATAAAGATTTTTTATTCACCTCATCAATTAAAAGAAATTCTTTTTGCTCGGATGCCATTATTGTTCTTTAAATAAAAAAGAAAAAAAATTCGAACGTATCTCACGCACGCTCGGTCATACGTCATTCATTTTCCCGGTAAAAATATGGTAGCATACCAGTACAATATGGCGTCAGATTCGCGCCGTCATTACCACTGGCCAGTATACCGATGTGTATTTCGGAACACACCCAACATGATTTGTTAGAAAAAACGGTAAAGCCAGGTCGGCTTTAGAATCAGGAGACTCACCAGGCAGGGCGTGTGGAAGCGGTTCCGGCACTGGTGGCAGGGCACGGTAGGCAGGTGGCCGGTGGTGGGGTGCAGCCTGCAGTAGCAGATGTAGCACTGCGGGGAGCTCTCCACGCGCGAGCTGATGGCCGAGCTCCACATCTTGATGGCGTTCACCACCGTGCCGTTCTGAGGGACGTGCGATACTTGATCACTATATACAATATGAGTAGGCCCTATTCGTTAACTGTTTTTGACAGATGAAAGTGATAATCACCGAGCTATTTAGTGATTCACTACTGCTGCGTTATAAGAATAGTGCCGCTGAGATACTTGTTCTGAAAAGCATCGATGGATATGCAATTTTTTCTTTAGTGACACAATGTAGTGTCAAAATATAAGCGAATAGGCCGGCAGGTCTCTGCCCACTATATCGTACCAAACCACAACCGCTAGAAGGACCATATAACCGTGCTAGGATGCTAGTATATTTATCATTTGTCGTAGGATGTGTATGGCAGGTGACGGAACGGTCTAGTAGACGTTGTTTCATATAAATTTTATGAAAGAATATTTACTTGCGTGTGTCGGTACGATTACGGTCATGGTATGGTACAATTTTTTAATTGGTGAAGACCTTTAGTAATATGGTAGCAAAAATTTGTATAGTAAATACTTGATTATTAGAAAATTGTATGGTTATATGTATTTTGTCACAAACATGCTCTTGAACTAAAACCGCGAAAACACTAAAGATAGAGTTTACCAGAACCTCGCGGGTCGCGACGTGAATTATCGCGATAAAGATGAGTGGTACGGCTCATTCCAATATGCAGTGCGACGTAAGGGAGAAAGTGCAACGACATCTGCACTTGTTTATAACTTATGCGCGTTACCTGCGTATAAGGGGGTACTACGCACTCGCGGGTGCTAGTTAGCTCTCAATTAAACTGGATTTTTCTTGAATGCGTCGATTGGCATATATATTAGCGCGTTTGGCGCCGCGCAGCGGACAGTTGAGTTTCAACAGTGATTTCGGAACGAATACAGAGTGCAAATAAAGTGTTCAAGTGCGATTGTTTAAAGACTTATACCCCCTTATTAATAAACGAAGACTAAGCTTGGATTAGTTACTCTATGTTGTGTCATTGAATGACAATAAGGGGGATAGTGTACAGTGAGTGTAGTACTGAGCGTTTAAGAAAGAACTATGTAAACTGTGTGGTGAATAAAGTCAAAGGTGAACTGTCATATAAATTTGATACCCCCTCCCGACACGTAACAATATATTGGTACTGTGAGATTCTTTAGAAGGGAGAACCGGAGTACGAAACTTGATACATAGAAATGATAGCACTTTTTAATTATGTTTATTTGAACTTAGGAATAAAAAATACAATTAATTATAGTCAACCTATATCGTGTCTGTGCAAGAATCTTAAATATCCTAGATACACCACGTACGCTCAAAATGTGTCCCAATCAAGAAGTGCTTGAACACCACTCAAGCACTTCTTCGTTCCCAGTCACGCGCAGACCGTTGAAAAGTCAAGTTGCCGCACAGCTCCGTGAAAAAATGCGAAATAACCACTTATAGTACGTAAAGTGTCGTGTTTTTGACAGGTACAGTCGCCATCAGATATATCTGAGCATACAAGGTGACCAAATACATCTGAACAGTTAAAATGTCATTAAGTTCTATACGCTACAAGTGACCATAAATATCTGAACATTCATTACTTCAATAATATCTGAGCAGATGCCTGTCAATAATATCTGAACATTCAACTTTTCAATAATATCTGAACACGTCAATGATTATGTATCTACGCAGATCATGCACTGGGCTTACATATTTTGTTACTACGTGATTGAAAGGATGAACTAAAAACAAAGGCTAAATATAAGGAATAAATACGATGAGAAGGGAATAAAAATCTATCAGAAAATCATTCGTGTAGGTCACCTCGAGTAGTAGAAATGGAAGATGCATAATTTTTTCTCTATTTATTTTTTATAATTAACGAGAAGTTATGTTTTTATTTTATTCTATAGATTAAATTCTCAATATCTCCTTAGAAATTTATTTAACCCGGCGTCAGCACAGTCAAAATATGCATCAACGACAGTAGGGTTGGGTCGAGAGGACCCGTATAAGAAAACGCCATAATTACAAAAGTTAAAATAAATTTGGTATGTGGTTGTACTATCTGTATAAAACGATTATCGTTATAGGTTTTGAGTAGAAAAAAACACAACATGATACGAAACTATCTTTTTAATGTCATTTTCATAAAAGTGTCACAAAATATTAACAAAATGGACAACCTCTGTCTTAAAGTAATAAAATTTTAACAAAACATTTTTTTTTATATAACATAAACTAATTTGTTACATGTTAATCAAATCTTTAGTAAACTAATAATATTATACTATTTGTATCAGTCTCATACGTCAGTCATAGTATCCTTATCATCTGCGCAATCTCGGCAGTACAACATTGCATGGTCACTGCAGATGTATTTGCATATACAGCTCCGAAAATTATTAGTTTTCTATCTTTTTTGGCAGAACAGTCTTGGCATCTCTTTCTTACATAAAGTATCTTCACAGGTGGCTCCTCATCAGGTACCTACTCCTAAAAACTCTCTTATTCTTTTGCGTATAAGTCTTAGCAACTGAATGACATCTTTACGATTGCGCAAATGCTCACGAACCAGTATAAGGCTTAAGTTTCTTTAGAAATTGGCGTTATGTAATATGTACGCATTTATTTCAGACATATTTGCCAAAAATAACAAAATAAACAATATAAAATAACAATAAAACATTTTTTTAAACGGCGCAAAATTACGACACGAATAGTATGGTTGGGTCATATTTACCTTTTTCGTGTTTGGCCGTGTCTATCACTCGCTGCGGCCGCAACACGACTGATTGGCAAATCCCACGTGGAGGGGGGGACCATTAGCTCCAGCTACTGAGAAGTTTGGCAAAGTCGCACAAACATTTTAAGAAACACGCTCATTTGAAAACTGCTCGGGTCAAATAGACCCAACTGTGCGAACGCCGGGTTAAAAATAAGACAACTGCGTTTTTTAACCGCAATAGAAATAAGTAATAATTTGGAGGAAACATTTGTCCCACTATTTCCATTGCAGTGGAAAATGGAATTCTGTACTTGTCATGCTCAAACTGGGCGCCATCCTTACAAAAATTTTATTTACTGTCTGAGTGGATGTGTTTGTTTGGTTTGGGTATGTATTATTTATAAAAGTGAAAATTAATAAAAAACAAATTTAATTCCTATAAATTTTTATTGAGTTAAATAATCAAAAATGTAAACGAATTAACTTGGTACACTACCTCAGTAGATGCTCAAGCTTAAGTATTTATTATTATAATAAAATTATAATCGAGATCGAAATAAAAAAAAGCAACTTCTGATACAATGAGTTTAAAATTAAATAGTAACAAAATGTTTTATTGTTATAATTATACATGAGATCAAATCAAAAAGTTATCAGGCAATTAGTAAGGTTCTTGAAATTAGCGTATTATTATTAGCTTAATAATTTCCCAATATTATCAATGCCCGTTTAGACGGGAATTTCTAACAGACGTAGACGGCCGTAACGTATATTGTCGAATTTTCAACAAAAACGCAGACCAATTAGTTATTTTGCTCACCATTTTTAGGGTTCCGTAGCCAAATGGCAAAAAAAACGATATTCATACAAAAATAGAAAAAAAAACGAATGGACTTAGATTTTTTTTTTATCAAATCTTTACGTGTGGGGTATGGATAGGTCTATAAAATTGATAGGTCTATAAATTAAATATGGGTCCCATTTCCACTAAATGTTGTTAGAATTCATAATGCAATAAGGTCGAAATTTTAGTTTGATAGTGTTTTGATGACATAATGTCATAATGAATCGACCCTTGAAATGATAACCTCTTTATAAAATACTATTTCGTGTCAGTGTCATTGAAAAAACAGTTTAATGTGACATTTTTACAAAGTATAATTCGGAAACGGAACATAACATAACATCGGAAATGATCTTTTGCTGTCGCTTCAGATGACGTAATTGCATGGTTGCCCCTAGTAACGTTAAGTTGTCAATGGTAAACATTATGACATTGACGTTGCATTAAAATATTAGCTTTATACAGCTTGCAGCAGATTGCTACACGATATTCAAAGGTGGGGCCCAGATGAAAGCTCGTGTCTGTACATTACCATGCAAACTTCTAGCAAAAGTTGATTTGAACGAGATCAAGCAATTACCGCAATTTACATTTAATTCAATATAAAAATATTTATTTAGATACTGGTACGGAACCCTTCGTGCGCGAGTCCGATTCGCACTTGACTGGTTTTTAAATATGCATACTATTCAAATATACTGCTTATAGACATGTTTTCTCCTGCTAACCAATCTACAGTACAGACACGAATTATGAAATCTTGCAGATCCATGTTATTGTAAGCTGCCTTTTTACCCGGCTGCGCAATGCAAGAGCGCGAAGCGCGACGCGCAGACAGGGTTATGTGTTTAACAGTCTATATATGTATGTTTGTTCCTTTGTGGCACACTAGAGACCAAACGCCTGGACCGATTTTGATGATTTATACATCAATCGATTCGTCTCAATCGTGGGAGTGCTACTAAAGATATGATAGTAATCAAAATTCAATATGGGCAAAATTAGACGCCATATTGTGACGAAGTAAAAAAAATAAGTTGACTAAATATGTCGAGTGGGGTATCACTGTCTAGAAAATCAAAAATCATATTTAGGTTCCTAACATCATTTTTCATTTTATATGATTGTTTAGGATCTACAACGCTTTAAAGTTGTATATTAACCACTTACGCTTTTAATTTCAATCTTACGTTTGTATGGATCTTTGTTACTCTTTCACCTTAAAAAATACTGAATGGATTTTGATGAAACTTAACAGTAATATAGCTCATATATGATAATTACATATATATAATAATTTATTTAATTATTGAGTGAATTGGCCAATATATAATAATAAGTGTCACATAAGACGGAAAAAAATCTCCCATCTGAGAGCCATTTTGGCCTGCACTGCAAAAACAATAAAAGTTACATGAATGTAATATAGAGTGAAAATGTATCTCTTGAATAGTTCTAAAAAAAAGTCCGTGACA